AAGCTATATTGGAACTGTGGAAATGGGGGGCCAGTGCCATCACCCTTATATCTTTCACTCTCCCTTTACTGGGAACATCTGGAGCCCACTAGGACTGTGACAGTGACTGGTGTTTCTCCAGAATAAATCATCTTGGCCTTAATGGTTTAGATCCTCTGGTTTAATCTAAGTTGTACCTTCTGATTGCATTAAGATAAGATTTTTTTTTCTTTTATTTCTTTTAAGCAGAATTATAGATCTTTGGAAAATGTAAATAGTATATCTGTATAACATTTTAAAAGTGAAGGAAATAAATTCGTGTGTTATTTGGCAATAGCTCTGTGAATTAAGCAGTGCAAAGATGATAAATGCTCTAAAGGAGGAAGTAGAGGAATACTCACTCCAAGCTAGACAATATTTACTGCTCTTCCTTCTCTATCTTGCTACCTTGCTGAACTCATCCCATACTGGTTTTCTCCTCTCTGAGTTCCTCAGCTGATTGACCCTTCCCTCCCACCCCGATGTAGTTCCTAGCTGAGGAATTTAGTCTCCCTGTGGCATCTGTTAATTACCTTTATTCTTTTGAAGGAAATGAAAAGAGGATATCCGTTCAGATTTTTTTAATGTTAACTTTTAATAGGTGAATTCAGACTGATAGGCAGGACTGCCAATTTATCAGCACATTCACCATGTAGATGGCAGAGCGAAAAACTATTGCCTCAAAGTGTTTCTGTGAAAATATCATGGGAAATAAAAGGCTGTGGCTTTTTTATTAACAGTGTTGTGGTCGAGAAATGGACTATGGGGTAGAACCTATCAAAGTTACTGAGATAACTGTAGGGTTTTCTTTCTGGAGAAGTTTCCTAAGTATACAGAAGAAAGCTAAAATCCATGTTCTCCCCTAAACCCCACCATTTCTAGCTGGATCCAAGATTCTTTTGGTCTGAACACAGTTGAAATCATCGATACTGTTCGTGAATAATACTTCCCCACTAATGAGAAAAGCAATGACTAAAATTTTAGATCTGTATTATTTGGCAAAGCCATACAAATGATTTCCATATACAAAAGAGCAGTTCATGAAGAATAAACTATATTTTTAATAATTTTCGTAAAACCACTAGGTAGAGTATCAATACCTTATTCCTGTCTCTTTTTACCTTTTCTGTTAAATCATGTCTATTAAATTGAAAATAAAAGGGAGATAATTATCTGAATAATTTCACAAGACATTCCAACTAAGTGACACAATTTAAAAAATGATGAGAAGACACAATATTCTAATACATCTTTCTTAATGTTCTTAATTTGTGAGTAGACCCAACTTCACAGTCAACTATGGAAGCAGTTGTTCTCTGTGAATAGTGTTCTGGACCCAATAGTGTTTTGGACACTGCTATTGGCCTGCTAAACTGATAACTGACCCTTAGTCAGCAGTTTTGAATGGGAATGATACTTTTTGTGAGTAGGAAATATAGTTTAAGCTTGAGACTGGTTGGAAGGGTTCAACTCTACTATAAATCAGTTTTAAAATGTGATTTCAGGGGTGCCTGGATGGCTCAGTCAAGGGTGGGACTCTTGATTTTGGCTCAGGTCCTGATCTCAGGGTCATGAGATCCAGCCCTACATTGGGCTTCCTGCTCAGCGTAGAGTCCGCTTGAGATTCTCCCTCCCTCTTTTCTCTGGCCCTCCCCCCACTCATGCTCTCTCTCTCTCTCTCAAATAAATAAAATCTTTCAAAAATGTGATTTCGGGGCTTCTGGGTGGCTCAGTTGTTAAGCGTGTGCCTTCAGCTCAGGTCATGGTCCCAGAGTCCTGGGATGGAGACCCGCATCAGGCTCCCTGCTGGGTGGGAAACCTGCTTCTCCCTCTGCCACTCCCCCTGCTTGTGTCCCCTCTCTCGCTGTGTCTCTCTATGTCAAATAAATAAATAAAATATTTTTTAAAAAATAAAATAAAAAATGTGATTTCAATGGCTTTGAAAATTGGTCTCATAGTTCTCTTGTTCTTAGTGACACTTGGTTTAACATTCTCTTTTTTTTCCTGGTGCCACAATCTTCCATTTATGGTGATAATTTCTCCAGCTCACTGGATTTTTAAAAATGTCTCACTGGGTTTTTCACTTTTAGCCACTCAGTCACCATCTTTCTGAAATACAGTCATTCAAAAGAATTAAGGTCATGTACAAGTGTGTTAATGGGAATCCTGTGAGTTGCCTATTCTGTTAGTATGAAGCTGGAGGCACATTATCTGAAAGCACTGGATTCATGATACCTGGAAGGTCTATAAATCAATGTGGTCCATCTTGCCTTGTTAAGACAGGTGGATCCCATTTGCACAGATGTTCTCTCTCTCTCTCTCTCTTCCTCTCTAAGAAGGAAATAAAATATATAGGCCCATTAATCTGCACAGGTCAGCCTCTTTGATAGGGCACATTCTTCGAAAAGGTAAAGTTGCAGTTCAAATGTGTATGATATACAAAAAGGGGGCAAAATGCTCAGTCCTTTCCACTTTCAGCAATTATAAAGATCTAAGTATTAATGAAGCAATAAGAATTGTTTATCTTAGGTTATCCTGAAATTTAAGAAAAGATAATGTATATTTCTAAAATTAATCCACTGGGCTTAATTTAGGTTTAAGAACTGGGCATAGATATAAGGCCTAAGATTAAATAATCACAAAGATTTAGATGACAACACATACTCTTATTTTTCTAAGGGAATATTTTGCATAAAATCTATGTTTGATATATATCATTGGAGTAGACACTGAGATTCCATTTCATATATTTAATATTTACATGTTCTTTTGAAGTATTTTCCAGTGAAGACACCAAAAACAAAAAAAAAGGCAATGCTAATGAACTATGGAAATAGCCCCTGATTTTATTAAAAAATATTAACAACTACAGAACCAGACTTGAAGATTGAGTTTTAAAACAAATGTGGTATTCACATAGACACATAGTATGCAAATTAATATTCCTTTTTGAATTAGTTTTTCTTATCAACCATTTCTCATCATCTCTCTTTTTAGAAGTTAAAATGTTTGTATGATGACAAGTGAGGAAAAGAGATTGGAGCTAAAGATATTTACAGGAACAGAACTGTTTCTAGTATTATTTTAAGCAGGAGAGTAAATATTGAATGAAGGGGTGGTGAGGCACCTCCTGCAGTCTGTTCTAACTGAATAGACACAGAAACAATAACTGGAAAGGACACTCATCTTCATAGAGGAAAAAAACCAGTGCCAGGCAGCTTTAGCTCACATTAACAGGTGCATAAAATACAAATGAAGTTTTATCATCACATCTGAAGGTAGGATCACAAATGAAATGACTCATTCATTATATGTTATTTATAAGCGTTTCCTGGATTTTTTTTTTCAAATTCAGAATTTTCAGGTGCACTTCTAAAAGTTTGTTGAAAACGGGAGGGGGTAGGGGGATGGGTTAGCGTCGTGATGGGTATTAAGGAGGGCACGTGCTGAATGGAGCACTGGGTGTTACACACAAACAATGAATCATGGAACACTACATCAAAAACTTATGATGTAATGTATGGTAATTAACATAACATAATAAAAAAAGTTTGTTGAAAGAGGAGTGATACAGCTTGGTGTGAGTTCACAGCTGTTTAATATCCCGGCACTTTCAAGGAATTCTGCTAATTGGTTCCAAAGCCAATTTAAATTGTCTTATCAAACCACAGGAACTCAAAATGTTGATTGGACTGAGGCAAGTCGCGTACAACTTCTATAAATCATGAAACGAATTCTTTCTCGAGGGATTCTGGACAGAGCTGTACGGTAACTGCTACAAATTTAAATATAGAGTTGTCAAGTGGAAACTAGCAGTTATTTGAGAAGAGGAAAAAAAGAGTGTTTAGAGCTTTGAAGAGTACCTCGAAAGGCATCTGGAAATATTCACACAAAGGGAAAAATGTTCATATAGAGTATATATAGAGATGTAGCAAGTTTGCCAACAGGGTTTCTGTGCTAGGGATTTTCAGGAGTTAGTCATAAATCATACTTTTTTCTTCTTTAACTTCTCTTTCCTCAAACTGGGTTATAAATATCCTGCGAAACCCGCGTTTCAAGGGGCATGGCTCAAATGTGTGCGCCTATAGGCTACATCTAGGGAGAATGAAGGGCGATCAAGCAATGAACTAAAATGCACGGGACTAGTGAGTATTACTGTAGCTTTTCCCTAGTGCTCTTTTCCAATAACAAAATGTTAGTGGCAGATAATTGCACTATAGGTTAGTACATGGCAAACAAATAGGGATTACATATATGTATTTAATAATACCTGAAAATAAAAATAAAGAAGGCAAATAAATACAATTCAGATGACCTTGTGAATGCTACACGAGTAAATCATGAAGATCAGCGAGCAAAACACTTGGACAAAGAGTTTGAAACAAAAGGAAAGTTTCTCAACTCACAAGATTAAAATTTTTATTTCCCTATAGAAGGAAATATCAGAAATAGTCATCTTCCTGAAACAGAACGTTCCAAACAGGAGTTGGAAAGAAACGACAGTATTTTAACACACGCTGCAATCTGAAATTTTGCTCGATCTTGCTGTTTTATAATTTTCCAATATTCTTTAAAGGTGGAAAATAAAATGAAGAGGGTTAGATATTTTGAGTGAAAGATTCTGATTTTAGTAATATGAATCAGACAGCAGTAAAGAAAATAACGTGAACATAGTGCCTCTCTAATTCTCCATAAAGGCTATAGCTGGAGGAGCAAGTGACATCGGAGTCTCTGTGGCGCAATCGGTTAGCGCGTTCGGCTGTTAACCGAAAGGTTGGTGGTTCGAGCCCACCCAGGGACGGCCCGGTCTTTTACCGGTTTGTCGCCGGAACTTTTGCACAATTCTTGGAGTTCAGACCTACGGACTACGCGGAGGTCGGTATCCAGGGTTTGAGGGGAAAGAAACCGCAGTTGTCACTTGGCCGCCCACCTTGCGTGTGGCTCTTCAGCTTCCGGGAGCGCTGGACGCTCCTCCCCCAATCGTCCCCGGCTCCCGACCCGCAGGTGGGCCCTTCCTGAACAACCCCTCACCCCCGGGTGGGGGAGAGGACCCAGCGCCTTAAAGCCCCCGCATCCTTTCACTTCTAGTCTCTCAGTTCCCAAACTCAGGCCGCTGAGCGCCCCAAGGGGCCCTGGTCCTCCTCGCTCGTTTCTGAAGCGCAGGCCGCACAGGTCCCTTCCGCGCCTCGCCGGGCTCCCGCGGGCACCCTGCGGCCCGGTGCGGGCGCCGAGCGCCGAGAGCGCGCAGAGGCCGGGCGGGCGGGCCCTTCAGCCGCGCGCGCCGCCGCGCCCGGGGCTCGAACCCGCCGCTGCCGCGCGCAGCTGCCCCCCCGAGGCTTCCGCGGCGGGACGGCGGCCCGGGCTGCTCGCGGCGTTCCGCGTCAGGACCCCTGAAATGTCAGAGGCCGCCTGCATGTATGTATTTAAAGGGTGCCAAATTCAAGCTGTACATTGATTTAAAACTCTTCACGTTTTTTTCACACTAATGTTGAATCGTGCAAAGTTTGTCTCTTCCCCGTCAGCGTAAACATGTACTCCCGTGTAGTGACTTAAACAGTGACTCTTTGTGGTATTGGTGAATTCAGAAATGTTTGTTATAAAGGCTTTGTATGGACACTATTTTAAGAGCATTTCTATATTATATTTTACTTTTTATACTAACGTGCCAGAATTTTATGGAGAATGGAATGGACCTGCAGCATTTCCCATCTATTCAGAAAGGAAGCAAACCTGTGTGTGTGTGTGTGTGTGTGTGTTTAAACAACTGCGTGATTGTGTTAAACTTAAAAAAAAAAAAGCATTATGAGACAGATTAAAAGTGAAACTGCTAACATATTTTGATTCAATAAGCATATGCCATTTATTTCACAAAATGCAAAACTCTCTCAAAATAGTTACTTTATCCTTCATTCTCTAAATATAGGCTGCCTTTGAGAAGTAATCATAGTTTCTTCATAATTATTGTCTTGGGTCTAGATTACAGAAATCTGAAAGATGGTTCTGGAGAAAAGTGATGTTTTATTCCTGCAAATGAATAGTTATGCTCTTCTTTGTATTTTCCTCCAGGTGTACATTGTTAATAAAGGCTAACATTTATTGTTTAGTCCTGGCCAGTCACTGCTCTGAGTGCTTTCATGGAGGAATGTGTGCGATCCTCACAACCCTTCCAGGTAGGTCCTATTGTTGCCACCCTGCAGATGAGTCCCCCCGGCCCCCCAAGCAAGGTGCAGTGGAGTATTTTGCCTGAATTTGCCGTTAGTCACTAGCATGGTACAGATTTGACCCAGGCAGTCAGGCTCCAAAGACCATGCTCCTCACTGCTGTACTACCTCCTCTAACATAAAGCTCCTTGATTAATTAGTTAATTTAAAACCAAAGGTGATATTTTTAATTAGCTTTTATGAAGTTTCATTAATATTTTGCTCCAAATCTCATGAAGGGAAAAAAAAAAAAAAAAACCACACTGAACATTCATAGAATCCTAAAGGGCACTGTTAAATTACACATTCATTGTGCTGCTTAATTTTACAAAATGAAAACTGTGTAGGAACATGAAATCTTAATGTGAAACGTATCTTTGGGAAACAGTTTGATAGTGTTTATGTGGAGAAGGCAAGATTAGAAATAAAGACAGGCTAGAATAGCCCAGGCAAAATATGGAAGAGGGATAGAAAGAAGAATAGATTCAAGCAGTGGGGCTAATCTAGAATCTAAGGGTTCTTGGACCCTAGGCTGATGTTTGGCATTTGGGGTACCTATTGAGACCTTGATTTCAGAACACCTTTGTGAGATAGTACCAAGTTTTGCACTGAACAGGTGCCTAGGTGGCAGTTTTAAATTTGATCCTAATTTTTTAAGTATGTTCTATCTCATCCTATTTCGGGGTTTAATAGGATTTAGAGGCCAGAAAATAAAAAGGAAGGATTAAATGAGAATGGAGGTGGGGCGAGGAGTGCAAAACTGCTCTCTAATGTAAGTAGTTGATTTTATTATGTGAGCAAGTGCTTAGCACATTTCCTTGTACTCACTGTTGCTTACAGATAAAACAGGTGGGAAGCATGTTAGGAAAATTGCTTAAATATTTATGGATGAATTGCCTTTGTAAAATTTTAATGTGTGTTGGTTATAGACATGGCAATGAATTCCATTTCTGGGGAGCATTATTTTGTTCTCAGTTTCTTGCTTGGTTCTGTAATACCAACCAAGCCCAGAAACGTGTCGAGATCATTTAGATCCTTAATTGAAGACTGAAGACCATTTTTTTTAATAAGATTTTTTATTTATTTAAGACAGAGAGAGCGAGAGAGAGAGCACGAGAGGGGGGAGGGTCAGAGGGAGAAGCAGACTCCCTGCTGAGCAGGGAGCCCGATGCGGGACTCATCCTGGGACTCCGGGATCATGACCTGAGCCGAAGGCAGTCGCAGACTGAAGACCATTTAAAAGGCTATGGCAAGCATCTGAGTATGTAAATATGTTCCGAATATTGTTAACAAACAGTAGTATATTTAAACTTCACATATAAAATCGGATGAAAGCTCACTAAAGTAATCCAATAAGTGAAACAAGTACTGTGGTCTACAAACTTATTAGAGGAGGTAATATTCATATAACTTCTAATAATTAATAATTTAAAATATTTTTTACATTGCAGCATTTCTTAGGATAATAGAGGTTAGGAGGAAGCCACATGGCTACCATGTCTCTGTTTTCATTTCTAACACCTGTGTCTGATGTCATACGATACAAGGGTTGGGGGGAAAAACTTCTAAACTGCCAAAGAAACACAAATGCCTTGTTTCTGCATACATAATACATCATAATGAGTAATGCTAACATGAATTTTAATTTTATTTCTCAGAATTTTGGTGGGCACAAGGCCTAACGTGTTCAATTTATAGCTATAACTGGCAGAGCAGGAATACATTGGTGGTAGAATAAACTGTGATACACTTAACTAGGAAATAGTTTAAGAACTTGAAACCTTTTCAATAATTAAGAATGTTAATTTTATCAAGTGCAGCATTTCATTTGTAGTGCTTCAGATTGAGCTCCTTTGGTAGTATCAGGACATTCTGTTTTTACATATTGAAAGTAAGTGTTGAACTTAAAAGAATGATGTGGGAATATATTTGTAAAATTGTAGTAAGTACCTTAATTTTGAGTTGTTTTCATAGCTTAAATTTTTCTTAATTTTCTTAATTTTCTTTCTTAAATTTAAGAAAAGTCATTAAAAATTCAACTGTTTAGACTCATATCCTTAAGAAAACTCTTAAAATAATTTTTTTTTTAAAACAAGGCTCCACACCCAGTATAGGGCTTGAACTCACAGACCTGAGATCAAGATTTGCATGCTCTACTGACTGAGTCAGCCAGGCACCCCTTAAAACATAATTTTACAGGAAATTCTTTGTAACTGACATCTTGACTAATAAATAAAGTAATTATCAACATCCCAGAAAAACTCCCCCCTTGTCCTTCTCCCAGTCATCAAAATATAACTTTTAAATTGTAAACATACAGATTATTAGCTTGCAGTGTGAATTTTAAGTTGCCATAGATCAGGAGTCAAAAATAAATTTACTACCAAACTCAGTCAGATGAGTATTTACACATGGAGACCAGGAGAAATAATAGAAATTGGAAATCACTTTTCCATGACTACTCACTTTTGTTCTAACCATCTATGATAAACTTGGCAAGAATAAATTTGTACTATTAAAGCAGAAAATACAGGAAATTTACTATTTATTTGAAGTTTTGAATTTTTTCTGTAAACAAAAACTGCTCCTACCCCACCTGTTTAAAAACATGAAACATGGAGCACCTGGCTGTCTCAGAAAGTGGAGCATGTGGCTCTTGATCTTGGGACTGTAAATTTGAAACCCAAGTTGGGGCTTACTTAAAAATAAAATTACTTAGGGGCACCTGGGTGGCTCAGTCGTTAAGCGTCTGCCTTTGGCTCAGGTCATGATCCCAGTGTCCTGGGATCGAGCCTCGCATCGAGCCCCGCATCGAGCCCGACATCGAGCCCCCCATCAGGCTCCCCGCTCCGCGGGAAGCCTGCTTCTCCCTCTTCCACTCGCCCTGCTTGTGTTCCCTCTCTCGCTGTGTCTCTGTCAAATAAATAAAGAAAATCTTTTAAAAAATAAAATAAATAAAATTACTTAAGAATAAAATCTTTAAGGGGCGCCTGGGTGGCTCAGTCGTTAGGCGTCTGCCTTCGGCTCAGGTCACGATCCCGGGGTCCTGGGATCCAGTCCCGCATCGGGCTCCCTGCTCAGCAGGAAGCCTGCTTCTCCCTCTCCCACTCCCCCTGCTTGTGTTCCCTCTCTCGCTGTGTCTCTCTCTGTCAAGTAAATAAATAAATAAAATCTTTAAAAAAAAAAAAAAAGAATAAAATCTTTAAAAACATGAAATAAAAACAACCTTGTAGAAATTATTATAGCTTTTAAATTAATTAAAATTTTATTTCTGAAAATAAATTTTAAACTTTAAAATCAAGATGAGATTTGAGTTTAAAAGGTGCAGTAAGAGGGGTGCCTGGGTGGCTCAGTTGGTTAAGCATCTGCCTTTGGCTCAGGTCACGATCTCCAGGTCCTCCAATCGAGCCTCACATCGGGCTCCCCCACTTGGGGGAGAGCCTGCTCCTCCCTCTCCCTCTGTCTGCCACTCCCCTCTGCTTGTGCTCTTTCTCTCGCTCTCTGTCAAATAAATAAATCTTAAAAAAAAAAAAAGTGGGGCGCCTGGGTGACTCAGTTGGTTAAGCAACTGCCTTCGGCTCAGGTCATGATTCCAGGGTCCTGGGATTGAGTCCCACATCGGGTTCCGGCTCAGCGGGGAGCCTGCTTCTCCCTCTGACCCTCTCCTCTCTCATGCTGTTTCTCTCTCGCTCGCTCTCCAATAAATAAATAAATAAAATCTTTAAAAAAAAAAAGTGTAGTAAGAGAAGATGACTCAGTAATTTTCCAAATAATATATTCTAAAATCTTAAGAATTTTAATCGAGAGTCCTCTGCTGGAGGAAAACAAATAGTCATCCTGTTATTTTGAAAGTATAAATAACTATAAAGGAAAATCTAATCTGTGTGAAAAAAAATGTTTGAAGTTGTGGAAAGTCTAATTTTTTATACCCCTAAGGAAAGGCATCCTAGGAAGGGTCAACATATAAGAATCCAGAGCAAAGTTTTACTTTCTTTTTTTAAAGGAAATTCTTCATTGTTATCAAAGTAGTGTATGCCTAAGGTTATAAATATCTGTAAAATTTAAGTACAGTGATATTTACTACATTATTTTTAATAGAAATCATAAATAAGATAAAATATGCAACACTAATGGAAGTAGTGAAATAAATTATGGTATGTTATTTAGATATTAGACTACTATATAGCCATTTACATAATATATTTCAGGAGATATGCCGTTAGGGGTGCCTGGGTGGCTCAGTCAGTTGGGCATCTGCCTTTGGCTCAGGTCATGATGCCGGAATCCTGGGATCAAGCAGCATCAGGCTCCCTGCTCAGTGGGGAGCCTGCTTCTCCCTCTCCCTCTCCCTGCTGCTCCCCCTGCTTATGCTCTTTCTCTCTCAAATAAATAAATAAAATCTTTTTAAAAAAGGAAATATGCCTTTGGACAATAGGTATAAAAAGCTAGATACAAAACTATCCAAAAGCATGATCCCAATTTTGTAATAAGACTGAATTACTTACATTAGTGATCTATAAATATTTCTTGATGGTGAATGAAATACACCAAAACAAGATTATCAGTGATGTTTTTCTTTTTTATACTTTACTTTCCAAATTATCTATAATAAACATGTATGATTTTTATTTGTTAGCTGACATTTTTATAACATAAAAATAATACCTGGGGACATCTGGGTGGCTCTGTCAGTTAAGCATCCAACTCTTGATTTCAGCTCAGGTCATGATCTCAGGGTCATGAGATCCTGAGATCTCACGGAGCCCCACATTGGGCTCTGCACTGAGTGTGGAGCCAGCTTAAGATTCTCTCTCCCTCCCCGCCTCTAAAAAAAAATTAAATAAAATTTAAAAATAATACCTGAATTCATACTATATATACAAGTTTGAATTCTACTTTTCTCTCTTAAAATTAACACTGAGGGAGAATAGGGAGCTTACATATAAACCTTTGTATATATGATCAAATGA